AGCAGCAGCAGCAGCAGCAGTAGTCACAGAAACTGAAAGGGCACACAAACGTGCCCGGCTGGCATTCATTTAATTTCTATATTATAACAACTGCTGGATCTTCAGCTCTGCAAGTGGCAAATATAGAAGAGCACTTGCCCCGAAAACTTAAGGACAAAATGGCTCGAATTATTTTAAAGCCTGAAGACTTTGCTCCGATCCAACTTCTACAGAGCTTGTTACGCCACGTTTTAATTATTTCATGCAATATTCGCCATCGTCGTAATGACAAACTAGGGGTACTAAATAATAATTATACTATACTATCTTTATGGCACAAGTGAGATATATATGACCAAGTTTCGCAGTCGATCTTGAACCTTATTAGCTTCTAGATTTTAGGAAACATTTTATTCGAGAGTCCCTGATAATAAACACTAGGAACCCTAAACGTGGCAACAACCAAAAAAAAACCTCAAATTTTTTAATGAGAAAGATTATCAGTCAGTTCAATCAGGGTAACATAGATGTATTCTACTGGGCACGATGAGGGTGGGGTAGGGTGGGGGGGTATTAGGGTTAAAGAAAGTGTGAAGGGGTAGACGGAGAGTGAATTGAAAATAGGGGGAAACAGGAATACAGCCTATCGGGGACAGTGGGGGGAGGCTTAAGAGAAGGAAAGGTGATGGAAGAATTGAATGAGTGACAAACAAAAGTGCTCTATCTATACTGGCCGTGCACTGCTGCTGGCGCGGGTTTTTTATGAAGCTGTAACGTGTTAACATGTCCTTTTTCCACAAATGATTGTTAAAAGTCAGATCTTTCGGGATTACATTTTGCTTGAAATATACTGACGGGCAATAATCAGAGCCAGAACAGTGAAGTTCAGACCATCCAAGAATTTACAATACGTCCAGGTTAGAACCAGCTTAATCTGTTTTATAACCGGAGGGGGTGGGGGTGGGGGTGCGGGCGGAATGATATGACCTAGATTCTTCTTTTCAACTCAGGCGTACTACTGGCCTCTGAAATCTTGCAGGCGCACACGAAAGGGGGAGAGGGCTCAATTTTGACTGCCACACCGGAATCGATGGCACCAAATCAATAGCCAGAATTGGGGTCACGAAGACCCGAGTGAGGGGATTACATCACGGACGCTGACTTACAATAATTACAAGACGTCTGTTTTGCATCCCCTCCAGCGCTCTGTTCCCGCTGTCTGCAACCCACCCATACTCCCCTGAGGATTTGTAGCGGGGTGGGGGTTCTTCTTTTTCTCGACCATTCTCTATCATTGTGCCATTCCTGTCCGTCTTGTGGGATACAACGTGAGGTGATGAGCTTTGTTAGGGCACAGTATGTACATATTTAATATCCCTAACAACTATACACGAGTAAAGCTATTTTAAGGGGATGGTCATTTTGAATTCAGTCTCCAGCAAGACCAAACTAGTGTGTGTGTGTGTGTGTGTGTGTGTGTGTGTGTGTGTGTGTGTGTGTGTG